GGTGACTCACGAAATTGTCGCTTGTCTGCGCTTATACCAAATTAATAATTGACTTTATCAAGTGGACAACAAAGCAGGTGGGTTCACTCTCTAATCCATCAACTGCAATTGAGGACGTCGAAAGGAGGAAGGGGCAAGTGGGGAGGGAGGACCACACAGCATTATCGTTATGATGAGCACGAGCTTTGCGCCACCCAAAAAGCTTGCCAGGGCCTGGGAGAGGGCGCTGGTCTGATCATCAAAGTGTGACTAAAGTGGTTTAGCCTAATGTAAACCCATAAATAAGCTGCAGCAGATACCAAGCAGCTGAGCCTGAGACCTGGCCGGGCAGACGCATTAACAAAATGCCAGAAATGAGCTTCTGTTTGGGCTGCTCTACCTGAACCGATCGGCTGGCCCGGGCCCGTTTCCATTTAATGAAATATGCGAGTCCCAGTTGCAGTCCGCCGTCCGAGGAGCGTGTGGAACACAAAAGTGCAGCCATAAAAACGACACCAAGCGACATGGCGCAGCACAGCGGGCAACAAGGAGGCAGCCAGGAGGCACCTTAAAGGAAGGACAGAGCAAAACATTGATGCTTATCGACGTGACAGAAGTGTTTGGAGGACCCTCAAGCAACTGTGCTGTACTGCATCATTGTAGAGTACACACATGTGCGGTTTGTTATTAGGCATTAATTTCTTAATTTCTGCACTTGTCGGCAGCAAGGACAACAAATACATGTATTGCAAGAATGCCCGACTGGTAGATACCCTAAGCCTAAAAACTAGCTGATTTTATGCAGCTCCTTTGCATCTTCCTTTTCCCTCTACCCACTCTCCCCATCAATGTGTGTGTGTATACCAAAGAACAAGGTTTTAGCCTTATACAGAAGCAATTTTTTCCAATTTTGGGCAAAACTAGAAGGAGGTATTCAAAATAAATATATATGAAATATTCCTCATTTGTATATACTAAATAAAAATAAAATATAAAATAAATACTAAAGATATAAAAATTGGAGCAGGCATTGAAAATGAGGGAATAGCTATACAACAAAAAGCCAATACGCTCTTTACACTTTATGAACAGCGTATAATAAACTTGGAAACCCACACGCAGCTCTCACAATGTTGGCAGCAAGAGTTGCTCTTAAATAATTTCGAGACACTAATGGAGCTTATCTCTAAACGAAACAAGCAACCGCAAACAAGTCTGGCCAGCACGTAGAAGAAGAAGCACCAGCTGCCGACTGACTGACTGACTGACTGACAGACAGAGTGACTGGGGCTGAAAGACTGCAGACTGCGGAGACTGTAGAGACTCCTGAGACTGGCGCTTGACTTGATTAGCATGTGAGCCCTAAGCAAGACAGTCGCCACAGTGTGTCAAACAGTTGAGCACGACGAGCTGGTCACTTACCCCCCCCCCCCCCCCCCCCCACACACTTCACCTTGACAAACCCCTCGCAGCGGGGGTAGCTGCTGCTGCTGCTGCTGCTGGCCAATTGACCATAGCGGGAAAATCGCACTATCTGCAATTGGGCAAAGCAAGCGCAGCGCTAACTTGATTAGTTCTGGCCAAGCTCTCGGAAATAAAGCCATGAAAGCCAAATAGCTCAAAACATGGCCAAGAGCTGTTGCTGTTGCTGGGTTGACAGTTGCTGACTGAAAAGTTTTTTAATTACCGCCGCCGAACGCAACCGTCAATCACAGTCCCAAACACTTTGTTCAATTGACTCCTGCTCCTGCTCCTGCCTCTGCTCCTGCTGCCTATCCCTGCTTGCTCCATGGCAATAATAAAGTCGTAACGCGTTTACAATTATAAGGCGGTACGACAACAAAGCCAAACGGCACACATTCTCCGCATAGCTGAACGAAGCCAGAGAGCACTTCAGCATTTTTTGAGCAAGCGGCAGTCAAGCTGGAGTGTCTACTGTACACCGACATTGTATCTACACAGTTCGCATGCAATGAATTAATCAGCGCTTTTTTATGATCTGAGATTAGACAAGTGGGAAGAGGGTTTATAGGGGGTAGGTGGGGCTCAACTTCATCCACAGCATAATTGCAATTCGTACAGCTAATTTAATAATTTGCAGCCGAGTCTTACACAAATTAAGTTTGTCAGCTGTCAATGCGCGGAATTTGTTAACAACATTGAAAACTGACAGTGCGAATCATCATAAAAGTTATTAATGATGAGAAATGAGTTATGAACTGACGGATGTGTGTAAAAAAACAACACAAATAAAACAACTACAGCCATGAAAAAAGTCAATTGCAACAACGAATAGCGAGTGCTCTGACAAGGCTCAATCAATATAAGGAAGTGAAAAGTGAACGACAAGGGAAGTTGAAGTAATATATACGATATATATCGATAAAATACATGCTACTATAAAACATTTCCATTTATACTATTCACATTCTAGCCTAAGCTTTGTTTTGGCTCACAAATGGAATTAATTGAAAAGTAAAATGGGTGAATTAAAGTTTCCTTGAGCTTAATAAATTCTGTACTTATCGATATTTCGATATTCGTTACATTTTTTTTTCGATATATTTACTTAATTTATATTTCGATTTTTGTTCAAGTTTTTTTCAGTAGTAAAAACAGTGAATTATTCATGAGTAAGCAAATTAGTCATTTCAAACGTTTAAAAATACTTGGAAACGATAATACTTGGAAACTTGGAATACAAAATCTATCGATAAGTGATGTAAGCATTCGATGAGTTCGAATGCTTATCGATAATTCGTTATCAAATTACACATTACATAAGATTGCAAAGATTATAGCGATAATAATCAGTAACATTACAACACCTATCGATAAATGATGTAATTTAGTCTCAAAATTATGAGAATTTCCAAAGTTTATAAAGACTTGTAGACAAACGATAAAATATGCTAGCAATAAATTGTGCGTAATAAAACTTTTGATGACCCCTGTGCCTATCGATAATCGGCACATGGAGTAAATATAGTTTTGTGTATTTTATTTTTTTTCTCTGAGCTCGATGATTGTTTGCCTATCGATATTTGTTAAAGATAGGCATTATTGCAGAGCTCCTATATAATATATATAATTTTGTAAAATCGTTTTAAAAGTTGAAGAAAAATACAGGTTTAATTGTTATATAAAGGTTACATTGAACTTCGATAAGTTGTGTGCCAACGGAATGGAAAACAATCGAAAGAATAATGTACAATAAGTTTGAGCTTGTGTGAAAAAGGAAACAGAACTAAAGACACTTGGGATATTATATTGAAATGTTCTACTTTTTTACTGTCTTAAACAAATCGGCCAACATAGCTATAATGCCCTTACTTGTAGATCTACCCTGTCAGTGACATGGCAACACAGTTCCTAATGATCATTGTCTCGCTCTGCCGGCTACCCATTAATGATGTTGTCGTCTGGAGCAGCGGTTGCAACTTCATTCGGCGCAAGAATGCAACTAAATCAATCAGAAGCACACTAATTTGCCATTTAACAAGGTATTTGGACAATTTTGATATATGTATTCAGCCAGGCCGAGGCGAAATGTCAACGGTAGCATCAACGACAACGGCAACGACAACGCCAACTTAGGGACGGGGCCATCAATCAAGCAGCCATTGAAGCCCCCGGCACGGCAACGATGGGCACCTACAAAAAGCAGGCAACACACAAAACGAGAAGTCCGAAGTACTTCTTCGAGACATTGGCACTGGGAATGCATTGTGACGCTTACATTTTGGAGCTAACCATTTACTTAATTGTCATTAAAGCGCATTGTATATTAATTAGCAAAACATGAAATTAACAAAAATGTTGGAAAATTACCGAAAAGGTCGCTCGCTGACTGACAGCAGCCCCAACAACTGGCACCTGATACCAAATATATAGTTTTGATCTGAACATGTCAATACATGGTCAAAAGGGGGGAGGAAGCGGGAAGGGGAGGGCGGCAACTCCGGTTGCGGTTGCTACATTGCAGCCGCTGATGATGATGAAAATGAAGTTGCCGCCCAATTTAATTAAAATTCCAAACGATCTGCACATGAAATGGCCAGCAAAATAAACGCAGCTCGTGGAAACGTGTTGATGAAAGATCAGCTGTGCCTCGACTTCGGCTGTCTCTCTAGGCAGATGGCCGATGCCATCGATTTGCATTGAGTACGCTGCTGCAGCTGCTGCTGCCGCTGTTGCCCAGACCAGACCATGGCCATAAGGCACGCGGCCAGACCGCAACACTACGCAGCAGGGTATTAGGACCAGGCTGCTTATTTATAACAGTTACAAAAATGTGGCCTTTCTTAAAAGCTCAAGCACATGCTGAGAGAGAACAACCCGATGTCTTAGAGCTTATTTGGTTCGTCGAGCTTTTAGCTTTAAGTGTGCTTTATTGTTTGTGTTAACGAAATTTTTTGCACTTAAAGGCTTGTGGATTTAAAAGTGAGTTGCTTTAAAATAAGCATATAGCTTATAATTTGGAGCTTTCGACCTAAAATAAATATGTATATATGTAAAATAGCTAAACTTTATAACAAAGCTCATGCATATGCTTATACAGAGAAAAGTATTGTCTCAAGGCTCATTCTGTAAATAGAGCTTTTTAGCTTTCATTGAGCTTTGATGTTATTGGTAAATGACATTAGTTGACCTAAAAACATAGTTGCGTATTCAATGGGCAATTTTGCACTCGCTTATCATAAATAAACTTAGAGCTTTAATGTGCTTGCATAGAAAATAATTAAAAACGTAGCTTATTATTCGAGCTTCAGCATTAGGTGAGCTGTAGCGCTTCATAAAGTTATGCATTATAAGAGTTTTTTTTCTTTTTTAGCTGCAATTAATTGTAATCAAAGCTTTAATGTGCTTTCAGAGCTTTTAGCAATTGATTCTTGAAGGTTTTAGTCTCTGTACCGTTTTTATCTCAATCGATTTTTGACTGTTTAAGTAGTCTCTCGAATTTCTAAAAAAAAATTGATTAAATATCTGTGACTTCAGAGTGTATCAAGTATTTGTTTTGTTTGTTGTCTTGTGTAATTATTAAGCTACAAGCAAAGCGCAACCGCAACAGCTAAGCTCAGTGCCGACTCGGAGCCTTCATGGCTATTGAAAATTATAGAAATTGGCGTAATAAAGTGTACGATAATTGCATGTTTAGTTATGATTGAATTACGAGCTTCTAATGCGAGACTAATTCGCTGTGCATTTCTTTGCCCCTCTAAGCAGCTGCCCGCTGGTAACTCGGCCAAATCGCTGCCTCTTGGATTATGGGCATATCGGAGGAGGTCAAGCTGGAGGAACTACCGCAAGAAGCCAAGCTAGCACACCCACATCCGGATGCCGTGGCCGAACGTGGTGTGGCATCCGCCTCAGTCACAGCTTCTGGTGCGGTGCCCAGCGGCGCCAGCGGCGGCACCAACAGCCCCATCTCGGATCCCAACAGCGATTGCGAGGCGGATGAGTATGCGCCGAAGCGCAAGCAGCGCCGTTATAGAACGACCTTTACCAGCTTTCAGCTGGAGGAGCTGGAGAAGGCCTTCTCGCGCACCCATTACCCCGACGTATTTACGAGGTGAGTGAGAAACCGAATGACAAAAGATAATAACAAAATAAACGAAATTTGCATAAATCGATTTAATAGTCCGTCTGTGGCCGCAAAAGAAAGAATATCCGGCTATAAAATGATATGATATGATACCCCCTGTGAGCTGTTCCAACTATTTGGAGCAGCATGCAGTCTCAAATTACGCTGACAAGATTTTCAAATCGGTGTCAATTGAGATCCCCTAGGGTACAAGTAAATTCAATTAACATGCAGAAATGCAACAAGATATAGAAAACTGCATTAATAATTGCCATAAATTAGAAACACGCCTCTGACGGACCGACCAAACGACCAGAACTGACTGCAACCAGCCGCTAATTGGATTTGCACAAAAAAGCAACAACAACAACGAAACATTTGTAATAACAACAATTAGAGCAACTTTTTGTGGGCACTCGTCGGGTTTTCATTTCATTAATGCAACCAGTTTAAATGCTTCACAATTAATTAGGCAAATAAATCACAGTATCTCTGTTTACACTTACCTCGATTGATTGACATGAGAATCATATAGAGCGGCGACAACGGACAGTTTAGCTGCAATGAGAATCGCAAAGAGAGGCGTTAGACAGAAGTGGTGTAAATTAGAAAAAAAAACATTGAATATTGATTGCGGTGCGATAAATAACTAATTTACATGAAAATGTAATTTCCATATAATTGTATATATTAATTATTTGTTCATTAATTTGATCATTAATTGCAAGCACAGCAATCAAAATGCAATGTTTTTTCTACATAAAAGGTATATCGCTTTACAGTTTTTTGCCTGACCAATTTTTTCTTTCTTTACAGAGAAGAGCTGGCGATGAAAATTGGATTAACCGAGGCGCGGATTCAGGTAAAAGCCCAGCACCCTAGCCGTACAACCAATTGTGGTTCAGTCCGATTAGCGTGCTTTAAGCAAAGTTAACAATGTTGAAAATTGAAAAATAATGGAGCATGTCGCCCCTAATGAAAACGCTTCTAGACATCTTTGGCCCAAAGCCATAGATTGGAGCGAGCGGAAATCTTGCTGCCAATTTTTAGTGCCGAGTCATTATGAGCTGATCCGGTTGGGGCCTGGCTTTGATCTGGTTTTTTAATTACCGCTCATGCTAAACAACATTATTTGTTTACATACATATTCTAGCGGTAATTGCCACTTGAGGCCCCAAAGGGACACAGACTCAGGCTCCAGCTACAGCTTCCAGCTTCCAGCTTCCAACTTCCACTTCAACTTCAGTTTGGACTCGGTCTTGGACTGGCGCTGCAATCAGCCACCGTTCTCGACACGAATTCAGATTGTTATGTTAAAAACTAATTAAATGGGCGTTTTCAATAGTCACGCCCATTAATTGGCTGCCAGTGGCAGGACACAGTAGCCTGTATTAAACACATAACTCAACTCTGGCTCAACTCTCTCCCCTTATTTTTTTTTGCGCCCCACTCGTGTAGGTCTGGTTCCAGAATCGACGCGCCAAGTGGCGCAAGCAGGAGAAGGTTGGACCGCAGTCACATCCATACAATCCGTATCTGCCGAGCGGCGCCGCCAGCATGCAGCAAGTGGTGGGTGCCGCCCTGCCGCCCAATCCATTTACCCATTTGGGCTTCCAGCTGCGCAAGCCATTCGATGCGCCCGCCAATTTGGCTGCCTTTCGCTATCCGCACTTGTCGGCGGCACCAATGATACCATCCGGCTACTTCAATCAGTTCCAGCGGTAAGCGCGACAGTTGATTATTTTTGCTTTTGGTATTTTAGCTAAATGTTTGCTTGTCCCTTTTGCAGTGCACCGCCGCACATGCTGCCGCCGGGCATGGCGTCCATGTATTCGCCCTCGAGCTCCTTTCAGTCGCTGCTGGCCAATATGACGGCTGTGCCGCATGGCCGTGCGCCGCCCATGCCCGCTCTGGCCGCCAAGCCGCCCATGCTGGTCGGCTCACCGGATCTGCATTCGCCCAATAATCATATGCTGGCCTCGCCGCCCAACTCGCCCAGCTCACAGCTGTCGCAATCGCAGTCGCAGTCGCAGCCGCCGCCGACGGGCCAGCTATCGCCACAGCAGCTGGTTGGCATCTCGCTGACGCATCAGGCGCCGCCGGCCGGCTCGCCCACACAGACGGCGCCCGTCGCTTTGACCTTGGCCCACGGCCATGGGCACTCGCCGCAACGGCAGCTGGCGCCGCCGCCAACGCGTGCCGCCACGCCGCCCGAGGATCGACGCACCTCGTCCATAGCCGCACTGCGGCTGAAGGCGCGCGAACACGAACTGAAGCTGGAGCTGCTGCGTCAGAATGGCCACAGCGGCGATGTGGTCAGCTAGCCAAGCAGCTATCGTACAATCCAATTGGTTAACTGTAGTCCTAAGCTCCTAAGTTATTCGAAAGCGGACCTTGCATTTTATGTTTGTAACAGAATTCACGGAATTTCCATTAATAAAACCAAGCACAGACGTCAAAGTGTTTGTGATATACACACAAATAAATCCTCTCTCCATTTTTATTATTCTCTTTTATACCCTCAGTCCATTGAAAATGGGCAGAAATGGTATAATTTGTGCAAATGTATATAACAGGCAGAAGGAAATTATTTCGAAAAAGAAGAGAATATATATATATACTTGGGTGCCACACTTAAACCCTACAATTTTCATAGAGATCGAACTACAAATTTCAAGTTAGTCATGAAAAGGGTTCTCAAGCACAGGGTACCTCCAAGTCGATCACGCCCCACTAGAGTAGTCTTATTTGGTTTTTTAGTGTTTTAGCTGGCATCGAGAAATCACGTAATGCCCACAAATTACATTTAAGCCGAGCCATACAAATGGCCCGGCCCTAATGTGCGTAACAACACCTACTTGGGAGCAAGCGCTAACAGGGCCAGCAACTGATTCACAGCCAGTTGGACAAGCTAACAGGGAACAGCTACTAGCCAGGCTGGTCGGCTGCCATTAATCAGCGGACTGTACATAAATCAGCGCTGGCCAAAAACAAAAACCACAAGCCGAGCGGGTGCTACAAATATAAATTTATGAATAAATTAGAAACAAATTAAGTATGTTAATGAGAGCCAGCCCAAACGAAACGAAGGTACCGAACGCATCTCAAAACGAATCACAAACGAATGTCGAACGAATATCCAAGACATGAAAAAAAAAAGAACGCCGCTTAGCGATTTCTCTCGGTGGTTGTGAATCTCTTGTATACCCTGTAAAATAGCTGAAAAATGGGAAAATCACAAGGCCTAGCATAACTAATTTAATCGAACTAACATGCACTTTGTTCCAGAAGTGCGCTTTCAATCGAAAGACTTAGGCAACGAACTCGACTAAAAGACTTAGGCAACGAACTTGACTAAAATAATTAGGCAACGAACTAACTGGTAAAATTGTTCATGTTTTTAAAATGCAAACAGCATTTCAGAGACGTACCTTTGGTTTTTAGTTCAAGCTATTTGGAATATTTTACTTATAATATTAAGAATTACAATTATTTATATTTTAATCAACGCGATTATTTGAATGATAGAATCATGACAGTAAGTGTACGCATACATTAGCATCTCATAACACAAACCAGAAAACTTAATGGCTTTCGGTTAATTTTTTAATACAATTACATAAGCAAATAAACGATATAGTTAGTGCACGTGAAATGATTATCAAGAAGGGTTTATTAAATTGTGAAGAATATAGAATTTCGATTAGAATATGATATAAAAGAAATACATATAGAGTAAGTCCTAGTCGCGCACTCTCGACTAGCTCATTTTTTTCTCGTTCTCTTTTTGGTTTTCGTATATTTTTGGCTTGAATTATGCGTGGTAATTAATAAAATGGAATATTTATGATAACTTTTATAAAACACGAAGCTGCTTAATTCGATTACCAGATTTTTTTTTTTTTGGTTTGCTCAAAGCTGAAAGATGCGCCTCAAAAGAGGAAAACGGGCCACATTGCCCGGTAATTGCCATCAAAAGGTGGAACTGTGATAATCATGTTTAACCAGGGCCCTCAGGGGGTTCCTCGACTGCCTTGCTTCAATTTTCGATTTGTTGTTGTTGTTGTTATCTTCTTCAGATGTGGCAACGCTTCATGCATTTCAATGAGTTCGTCAAATGCAAAAGCTACCCATTAATTTGCATAATAATCAAGTCTCAGCTTTATGGATGGGGCGGAGCGTGGCGGGGGGCGCTGCGAGACTTATATTTAGCCTGGGGCTGAATAATGTGATACAAAATATCGGGCAACAACCGATATTAATAATCATTAATTAAGCCGACTAATTAACGCTGACATTAAAAGCCTGCATTTTAATTACGATCAAATCACCTAAACCCAACCCCCGCCCCCCTCCCATTGACCCCTCTCTCCCTTACTAACTTGTGTTTGTAAACAAAAAGCAAACAGCACAATCGCTGCAGTTGTTCATGTTTTTTGTGCTCGACTAGTTTATTTATATTGTTGCTGGTGCTTTTTGTTCTGCTTCCTCTTCTTCTATGCGGCGGGGGGGCAGCCCCCGCTTAACATCTCTATTTGCAGTTGCATTTCATTTGCACAAACATTCGTTTAAAACGTTTTTTTAATTCAATTTAACTTCAACACAACTTAATTGTTTTTCATGAGCAATGAGCACTGAACTACAACAACAACAAACATAATAACAACAACAAGCCATAAGAAACGTGAGCTTGACGACGGCAACGGCTGCCGTTTATTTATTTTTTTTTTTTATATATTTTTTGTAAGAGCAAATGTTGTTGTTGCCGCTGGGATATGTAATTGCATGTGAGTGTGCGAGTGTGTGTGTGTGTGTGTTTCGTGTGTCGGCGCAATTAAGTTTGCGTTTAATTTGCAATTATCCAAACGACTCAAACTAATTAGCGCCACTTTGATTAAACTTTGCAAAATTGAACAATTTTTTACAAGGAGAGTAACAAAAAAAAATAAATAAAACAAGTGTGCAAAATTGAATGCAGAGAAAACCACAACGAAAATTATGATGAGAAATTGCACTTTAAATATACTCCACAAAAGAATATCTTATAGATATATACGAATTCACAAGCAGCTCTCGAGGCGGCTTAAAATTTTCATTAGTTTATTCACGAATACCCATGAATATTCCCGGCTGAGCGCTTATCTAACAGATTGCCTGAGATATATATTCTTCGTATCAATACATATCATCATCAACAGCGACAACAACGTCATCGGCGATTGTGAGAAACAACATTAGCTTAATTTAATAAATTCAAACAGCACAAAACAAAAGACTTAGGCAACGAACTTGACTTGAACGAAACATAAGTTAAGCTTAAAGCAGAAAACCAGATATGAAGCTGCGCTTGTTTTTATTTAGTCATTCAGCTAGCGATACGGCAAACTTGTCAATTTATTGATCCTAAAAATGTTTAACTAAATTTAGACAGCTTTAACTGACCCACTTATAAATATGTATTTATATTTCCATTTCGGATTTCCTATTGGTCGATCGCTCGATTTCACTGTCATTCATCTAGTTCGGCTCGCTTTTTGAATGGTGTGCATTTAACTGGACATATTTACGGACTAGAAAACATTTGTGACACATTCGTATGCTCAATGAATGTTGCTCAATGGACATCATTTAACTCGCAAATATATTTAATTGAGAACTGCTTTAACTAAATGTTATATTTAGGGTTTTAGTTGAATAAAACATTCTTTGTTTTTTGATTTTTTTGAAGTGAAACATTCCATTCTGCTTGGATAAAGTTCTGAAACATTCAGCACATTCGCAAATGTCGTTTATGAAGGTGGAATTTATTCTAGTCGAAGCATGTTTTAACTTAGTAAATAAATGAAGTATCTTTGAATGTAAAGCCGTTTAAATATGAAATCCAATTCAATCTAACAAATTTCTCTCTATTCTCATACCAACACATGCTAGAGTTAATGGAACATTTCGCATAATTTCAATAGTTTAGCACATTTTGAATAATGCATTTGCCGTATTTAAATGTGATTGAAAAAGTGGTTTCCTTTTGACACATTCATGGCATTAGTCGAAATTCATGTCCAAATCTTACCCTAAGATTCGTATATAGACATGGGTCAAAATTTACCACTCCCATAACTCGGCCAAATCTCATCCGATTTTCACGAAGTTTGGCGTTTTCTTCATGGTTTTCCCTCTAGATTAATCTGGCATTCAAATCTGAACAACGATTTTTTAGTCGAAATTCATGTCCAAATCTTACCCCAAGATTCGTATATAGACATGGTTCAAAATTTACCACTCCCATAACTCGGCCAAATGTCATCCGATTTTCACGAAGTTTGGCTTTTTCTTCATGGTTTTTCCTCTAGATTAATCTGGCATTCAAATCTGAACAACGATTTTTTAGTCGAAATTCATGTCCAAATCTTACCCCAAGATTCGTACATAGACATGGGTCAAAATTTACCACTCCCATAACTCGACCAAATGTCATCCGATTTTCACGAAGTTTGGCTTTTTCTTCATGGTTTTCCCTCTAGATTAATCTGGCATTCAAATCTGAACAACGATTTTTTAGTCGAAATTCATGTCCAAATCTTACCCCAAGATTCGTATATAGACATGGGTCAAAATTTACCACTCCCATAACTCGGCCAAATCTCATCCGATTTTCACGAAGTTTGGCTTTTTCTTCATGGTTTTCCCTCTAGATTAATCTGGCATTCAAATCTGAACAACGATTTTTTAGTCGAAATTCATGTCCAAATCTTACCCCAAGATTCGTATCTAGACATGGGTCAAAATTTACCACCCCCATAACTCGGCCAAATCTCATCCGATTTTCACGAAGTTTGGCTTTTTCTTCATGGTTTTCCCTCTAGATTAATCTGGCATTCAAATCTGAACAACGATTTTTTAGTCGAAATTCATGTACAAATCTTACCCCCAGATTCGTATATAGACATGGGTCAAAATTTACCACTCCCATAACTCGGCCAAATCTCATCCGATTTTCACGAAGTTTGGCTTTTTCTTCATGGTTTTCCCTCTAGATTAATCTGGCATTCAAATCTGAACAACGATTTTTTAGTCGAAATTCATGTCCAAATCTTACCCCAAGATTCGTATATAGACATGGGTCAAAATTTACCACTCCCATAACTCGGCCAAATCTCATCCGATTTTCACGAAGTTTGGCTTTTTCTTCATGGTTTTCCCTCTAGATTAATCTGGCATTCAAATCTGAACAACGATTTTTTAGTCGAAATTCATGTCCAAATCTTACCCCAAGATTCGTATATAGACATGGGTCAAAATTTACCACTCCCATAACTCGGCCAAATCTCATCCGATTTTCACGAAGTTTGGCTTTTTCTTCATGGTTTTCCCTCTAGATTAATCTGGCATTCAAATCTGAACAACGATTTTTTAGTCGAAATTCATGTCCAAATCTTACCCCAAGATTCGTATCTAG